AACATTAATACACTACAGGGTTTTTTTTCAGCTTCCTTGCTTTATTGCAAAGTTACCTTAACAGATGCAAAGCAAAACAGGTTCTTCAGTGGATATGCAGTTGGCTAAAGGATAGATAGTATGGTTGTATATGGGGGTCATTTGGAACAGAGACTAGTCATTAGTGGTGTACCGCAAGGCTCTGTACTAAGTTTATTTAATCTGTTTGTAAGTAATATAACTAAAGATTTGGTTGGTAAGGTATGTCTTTTTGCTGATGACACAAAGGATTGTAATACAGTTGATATCTCTGGAGGTGTCTGTAGGATTGGTTAAGGCAGTGGAAAGTGCAGTTCAGTGTTTCTAAATAATGAATCTAGAAAAAAGAGAATCCCTTGATAGAGTACAGTATTGAGGGTACAGTGTTGGCCAGCACTACAGAGGAAAATGATTTGGGGGTACTTAGTTCAGATGATTGTAAAGTGAGCAGACAGTGAGAAAAGCAAATAGAATTCTGGGATGCATCACTAAAGGTATCACAAGCAGTAGAGGAAGGAGGTCCTGACTCCCCTATACAGATCTTTTGCTAGACCTCATTTAGAGTAATGTGTCTGTTTCTGGATAGACATGTGCAATTTGTTTCATTACAAATTTAAATTCATATAAAATTTTCATTATTTGGAGTCTACGAATATTCAAGTAACAATAGTAATGGATTTTAACTAATCCGAAATACTATAAAAAACAAAATTAATTTGTTTCATTTGGATGTTTGAAACATCTGAACTAAGGAATGATCCAAATAAATTTTTGATTAACTGGTTGCTAAGGAAAGGCCGTCCAGCGGAACATCCTTACCAACCATGATTCATCTGCTGTCAGCAAGATTCCCTGCTGAAAGCAGAATCTAAACAAAAGAATTGCTAGTGCTACATTTTTGAAAAAACAAAACAGCATAGAGGGTCCCCCCAATCCATACCACCATGTCCTTTGGGTCTGGTATAGATTTTGAGGGGAACACCATGCCAAAGTAAAAAAAAATGTCATGGGGCCCCCTCCAAAATCCTTACCAGACCCTTATCTGAGCATGCAGCCCGGCAGGCCAAGAGGGGGGGGGGGAGTGAGCAACTCCACTCCTGAACCATACCAGGCCACATGCCTTCAACATGGGGAGGTACTTTGGGGGAGTGGGGGGTCCTATCCAAACACCTTGTCCCCATGTTGATGAGGACAAGGGCCTCTTCCCCACAACCATGGATGGTGGTTGTGGACATAGCGATGATCCAGCCCAAACATTCTAATTTGTTTCATCAGTCCCAAGTCATCCCCACTTTGTGGTTTGTCCACATGGCTTTGGCTGCAGTCGACGCCTTTCTTATTCCTTTGGGTGCAGGGGGATGATTTATCAGGATCTGGAATCCCCTTTAACAAGGGGCCCCCAGATCCTGCCCCCAGTGGACTTGAGAATTAGTATAGGGTACTCAGGTGTGTTCATCACGTTTCCCAAAAAAGCTTTCTTAACTGTGCTGCCCCAAAAAACCTGTAAACTTTTTTCAAACATTAAAAGACACTTTTTTTTCTTTACAGATGAAAAAGGCCTTCCTGCTCATTGTCTCTTACCCACAGTGAAAGGCAGTTTCCTAGCTGCTTGGTGCAAACGTGTATGCTATTTCTATTGTCATAAATATAATCAACCAATTGCCCTTTCAGCGCTACAGACATCCAATATCCCAAACAAATGATTAATATAATGGTACATTTTTGCAGCAGTCTTCAATTCAGTATACCCAAAAATATGTAACACAATATAGCAATATGTCAAAATTTGGGGTGCTGTGATTTATATCAAATAAGCACCCCTTTACTGTGAAAACCAAAGTGACCAAGTGTATGACAACTAAAGATATTAGTCCAACCTGCCACAGGTCTAAAAAAACTCTGTGAAAAAGTTGAGTCTTTCCACTGTGAATTAAACATGCTTCAGCGCTCAAATAAAGATTAGTCCATCCTGCAACAGTTTAAATAAACTTCTCAAAATAGTTTAATCTCTCCGCTGTGAATAAAACGTGCTTCAGTGCTGAAACACCCCTCTCCAGCAGACTAAGACTCACCAGACAGCAATGCCTCTCTTTTTACAGATTGGCATATAATGCACAGATGACTTCCATCTAACATGCCTTCCAATCCTGACTCTCTTCTCTTGTGGAACTCCCCATATAGTGACCAAGAAAGAAAAAAAGAGGCTGCAATAGTGTAAAACTTTTAACTAAAAATTGCTGTATTTATAATAAAAACACACTCACAAGAATCTAAAACAATCCAGCATTAAACAAGTAGCTCAGTCTACATGATGTATTGTGCCAAAAGGAACATTAAAACAGCAGCCTGGTCTCACCCGATATCTGCTGTGTCACTTCCAATACTTCACTTCAGGCACCACTGCTGACATTACATCTTGTTGCCGCTCGAGCGGCAGCGACTACTAATACTTTTTTTAATATTTACAACTACAACATGCCCTAGCGGCCCAGGGTCACTCATATAAATTAAAAGAACTAAAGAACCCAATTTTTCACCAATTAGAGTCTGTTAATTCCAAAACAAAGGGCTTATGTCTTGACTGTATGGGATCTTGATCTTAAAAGCAGATTCATTTGCAAACCCAAATCAGAGCAAGGAAGGGATGAGAGGAGGATTTAGGACCCTTAACAGAAGACCTCTGGGATAAAGTCTTAACAACACTCCCCTTAGTGTCTTTATGTCCAGCACAAAGACTTACACAACCCTTAGTTATTCATAGAGTTAAGCATACTCCTGCCAAAATGTTTAGATGGCACAGTGGAGATACGGATGCATGCCCCAAATGTAATAGGGGTCCAGCAGACCATATTCATATAATGTGGAGATGTCCAAAACGTCACAGATACTGGCGAGATATCGAAATCTTAATATCCTCTATCAACCAGGCTGCCTTTTATCTCACATCATGACTACATCCCCTTAATATGTATGATGTATTCAGTATGCCTGGTGAGGCTGTGGCCCTGTCATTGGACTACTTTAAATAGTCCGTAAGATAATTGCACAAAAATGGGTGTCCCCTAATCCCCCACAATAGAAGAGTGGAAAAACAAAGTCAATGTTGTTCTTGCCCAGGAAAAACATATATCAGCACAGAAACTGCTTCCATAAATTTAAAAAAAATGGAATCCCTGGCTAGCAATACCTGGCCTCCATTTTATCTTATTGCAAATAGTTTATTCAGCTTATGTAACATGTACCTGGTGATGGGGGTCAATGGTGAGAGGGCTTCCCTTGTGGCTAAGATCCGGACTCCCCTGAGAGTGGGACAGCGGGAGTCAGGCCCAAAGTGGCACAGGTCGCCTGTAGGAGTGCTGGTTGGTGGTCCACCCAGAAGCACAGCTGATGTACGGAGATAGGTCTGCAGACAGGTGGCGCCTGTGCGAGGTATGCAAGCCCTTCTGGGAATTAGAGATTTACTAGATAGTCGGTTCAAGCCAAGGTCAGGTACCAGGTGGGAATCAGAGCAGACATAGTCAGATGGGATAGCCGAGGTCATACACAGAGGAGCGAGAGAGAGAGTATCCGTAAGCCAAGCCGAGGTCAGATCAGGGGTTAAACAGAGTAGACAGGTCCAAGAGCAAGCCAAGTCGGTATCAGGAAATCACAGGTCACAATAGCACAGGAAACAGGAACAAGGCACGGGGAGCTAGAGATCATCCAGCAACTTGAGGAAGTGATGAGCCTCCCCACAAAGGCCGTCCGGCACCAAACTGAGGCTGATGCGTGCCTCTGTGGCCATGCAGCGCACCGCCAGAAATGCCAGATCCTCCAGAACCCCTGCCGTGGACAGGACCCCGACATTATGATTTAGAGAATTGTGCCCACTTTTGAAGTTCTGCTGTTAAACTCAAGGTGAAATCTTCCAATTTTAAAATTTTCATAATGTAATGAAGATACAGATGCAAGTCAAACTGTGCAGTTCTCTCTTTTTTTTTATTGTATGTATACATGCTCATACAGTGTGTAGTGTTTTACAGAATGGTAGCTGTACACATCAGCTACCAATACAAGAAATTTGTGTGGCTGCAAAAACACTGACAATAACTATAGGGACATAAGTTTACGAGATATGCACAACTCCTTACTTGTCAGTTGTATTAATGTCACTGTATGGCCATTAATGCTGGTTTTGTGTGCTTTTAATCATGCACAGGTTGTGCCTATTGGAAAAAAGTTAAAAGCCTAATAAAAAAATCTGATTTAAAAAAAGACATGCAATTTTATGTGATGTCAGTCATAGTGATCTGTAATTACACATATTCCCTGACTTTTAGCTTAGAAATTGGCCATTGCTGATAATGAATGTTAGGCTTGATTTCAATGCCATTCAGTTTCTGGATCCAAACTTTGATAACAATCTCCAAACTGGATACAGTATGTTTGGCTCAACACTACTCCTCTTTTATGGAGTATACTGTATTCCATTAGCATCTACTAGTGGCGGTCTAAACTGTAACTTTTTATGACAGTGGACTGTATTCACTGTCATCGCTATATGGTGTTTTGGAATAATCATTCAGGTGTGGTCAATGGCCATTCATCTGTAGGCCACCTATGTCAATGATGCTCTTATTCAACAAAACATTCGGATTAGACCTCTAAGTGGCATGATCTTTTGTACTGGACACTTCAATACCCACCCCATAGTTTTTTTAACAGGGTCATTGTATCACTTGTAATTTATCACATTCAACTAAACTTGTTCTGTAATGCTTAAGACCTTTCACTACCCATCCAGGGAACTCTATTTTTTCTTTTACTGTCTGCTATTAATTTAGTGCTCATGTACACTGCAGCTGATAAACTCACGTTTAGGAGCTGTTCAGTGTTTTTTTTCAGCAGCCCCTGAACTCACCCTAATGTTTTCCTATGTGTCTGTGTACACATCTTCGTTTACAGTCGTTTACAGGCATTTGAGTCTACAGTTGTTTTTTTGAAAACTTGCGTTCAGCAGTCGATTTTATCAGTGTTTCAAAACACTTGTAAATGCGACTAAACGCGTTTATACATTTTTCTTCCAGTTCCTGATGCTGCCCAGAGACTTTTTTCATCATGAAAAATGCATGCAAAGCTTTTCAAGGTACTCAAATGGACAAAACACACACATTGACCAATTCACACCTCAGACCTCTCCCACCCTTGGAAACAAAAGATATGTTAATAACCATTCACACCTCAAATTCCTCATGAAGACCCCCTGCCAGGTGACCTTAATGACTCACTCCACCAGGCACCTTTCCCTTTGGAAACAAAAGAAATGTTAATGGAAACTCACACCCAAGCTAATCTCAACACATACGGCTATCTCTGCTTCTACTCTCTGTATTTCTCTCTGAAACAGTCTGAAATAGTTAATAATTTACCACTTTTCAGTACATTTGGGAGGTTCTCCTGTGCTTATCTTTAAAAAATGCTTCTAAACGCAAATTTGCATAAACGTGCATAACCGCATTATGCAAACGAGGCTAAACAGACTTTTTTTAACCTACGTTTTCCAGTAGTCAGCTTCCATCGTTCAGAAGTGTACATGTGGCCTTAAACTGAGTAAGCCACTTGAAGCCACTTGCATAACTAGTGAAATGTCTTGAACATTACAGAGCAATGTACTTAACTACAACCGTATACAGAAAGCACAATGCTTGATGAGAAAATCTATCTAGGTTCTGGCCCTGTGATTTAGTTTATGGGGCAGGTTGCTAAGTGGTCAGCCCACTTTCAAGTAAACTACCAAAAGGGTCCATTGATCTGCTTCCCAGTTCACATCTGCATCATAAGAAAAGCCTCCTGATCAGTGGGACTTGTCATCACAATGCAATTTCTCTTTAGACATTGCTCTCCTAACACAGAAGTGATTTTGTAAGATGTCCAGAGGACCCTTTTACAGTTCACTTGAGCCAATCAGTTTGTCATTGATTTACAATGAACTTTGGCTCTCTACAGATTGACCTGACCAGGAATAAATTCATATTAGGAAACTCAATCCACACATTACTATTTGAGAGTTCAATAATGGGTATCATGATGCAGTATTTATGTACATCATGTTCATTAGTATAACTTTATCTTATGAGCAGCTGTAACATCAGTGCAGCTATTATAAGTCCTTTTAAGTTTAACATATCTTGGTTCTGAATATGTGAACAAGACAGTGACCCAGATTTCTTTCCCTGATGCCTAATATACTGGCGTGGCTACTGAAATAGATGAAGCTGAAGGCCTTTACAATACTAAACCACCATGTTTGTCACAGAAAGAGCTACTTTTATCTATGAGATAAATTCACCTCATACTTAGTCCTCCTCAGACTAATGCAGACTGTTAAGTATTTGCAGAGTTAACACTGAAATGTCTCATTACAATTGTATTTATAACCACTTCAATACTGAACACTTTCACCCCCTTCCTGTCTAAGGCAAAAATTAAGGTTTCAGCACTGTCACACTTTGAATGACATTTATTCAGTCATGCAACCCTGTACTCAAGTGAAAGTTTTATCATTTTTTGAGACAGATAGAACTTTATTTTGATGGCATTTAATCACCACTGTTTTTTTTTTGTTTATTTATTTGTTTGATATAAAAAAAAGTCTAAAGAATACAGAAAATTTTGAAACAAAAAACATGATTTTCTTAGATTCTGATTACAATTTTGCAAATAAATAATCTTTCCTCATAAATTTGGCCAAAATGTATTCTGCTACATTTCTTTGGTAAAAATAACTGAAACCTGTGTTTATTGTTTAGTCTCTGTGAAAGTTATTATAGAGTCTGAAAACTATAGTCTATCTATCTATCTATCTATCTATCTATCTATCTATCTATCTATCTATCTATCTATCTATCTATCTATCTATCTATCTATCTATCTATCTATCTATCTATCTATCTATCTATCTATCCACTCAGTCGTATCCGACCCTTGGCGATTGCATGGACCATGACTCATAAGCGACTTTTTTCCATGAATTCTTAGCAATTATTTTTACAGGGTAGGTTGCCAGGTCTTTCCCCAACCCCTACATGCAGGAAATCCCGCATGGCCAGGGAAACTGTAGTATATACACTGTATATTTGAAATTTGATGTACTGACGGCCTATTTCATCCCTTGAGGGCCTAAAATGCCAATACATTACAAATACCCCCAAATTAACCCTTTTGTAATTTTTTTGACAACACATTTTGGAAAATTATTAAATTAAAAACATTTTTTGTCTTTTTTTTTCTACATACCATCACCAAAGCAGCGCAGTATAATCATATGAGTGGTGTGGCAGTGATCAGTGATACTGACTGGTGATAGTGTTCCATTTTTTAACATTTCTTTTCTTTTTTTTTAATTTTTTTTTCTTTTTTTACAATATTTTTTTACATTCTGTGACCAGTGTTACCATAATGACATGGTACTGCTCTGGGGAAGTGATCAGGATTTTTTATGCAATATGAGTGCCTATAACAGTGATGATCACTGTTATAAGCAATTATTGTTTTATAAATGGCATCCATTCATTCACAACCATTCACTGAGTATTATTGTGATTAGCTGTGATTGGCCACAGCTATCATATGGTACAGATGGACTGTGATTAGCCCTGTCTGTACCGTGTGATCACTGTGACCAATCACTATGAATGAAAGCAATTCATTGTGTACAACTGTCATGTGATTGCTGCGACTGGTACCAGCAATCTCATGATACTGAGACCGGGTCACACAGCGGTTGACAGATCTTACTGCAGCACAGCCCCTAGGGCACACATGAGGTGCATGACTGGGAGGATGTCAAATAACAATCACCCAGGATTGAAAAGCACTACTCAGTCATTATCTGACAATAAGCTGGATGGAAAGCAGTTAAAAGTCAACATCAGAATACTAAAAATATTGTTCATTTGAAATATACCTATACCCTCATTTTATATAACCTCAATAATAATTTGGTAAATAAATTTGATGGAATCAAGTCCATCTGTGAGTGTTCTAATTTATCCAGGTCATGTTATAATTAGTAGTAGTTATCACATTAAACTGGACTTGCTCTTTGATGTTGAAGACATTTCGTAGGTTATCCAAGCCACTTCTTCAGTACTTATGAGTGACAGGAAAATACTCCAGCAATTATATCCACACATGTAGCATGGACACCTTAATCCAATCTACATGAAAGGCAGATAGTGATTGTCCAAGAACAGAATGAGTGGTGTAAAAAGTATGGAGCCACCCTGTTCTAGTTGCTTGATCCTATCCTTGGTGTCAAAAACACTTTGTGGGTGGTATTGCTTTATTTACATGGTAGAATATGGGTATTGTTGTTAAAGTGTCAAAGAAGTTGTTTTGATAAGTTCCAAAATGTCTCCAATATCACAGAACAAGTCCACTTGAATGTCACTAACTACTACCAGCTGAATCAAATCCATGTTTTTCCAAAAGATTCCTGAATTTGTGATTGAAAATGGATTGCACGACTAAAGATATCTCCTGGCAATATTATTCCTAGACACTTCGACAGTCATCAGCTCATTAATCTCTCAGAAATACATAATTCAGCTGCAAGCTGATTACATTAGTATATTATTATGTTAATCAATTCTAATTTTATCTCTCTAGTGCTGTTTATAAAACAATTAAGTTTTATCTGCATTTTTCTTCATGAACTGCAAAGAAAAACAAGCTAAAAGAAAAATACACTGCAGGTTATTCTTGAAAACCTGAGACAATTTTAAAAGTCTTCACTGTAATGTGAACACAGCAATTGACTTTAAACAGACAAGTATTTATTATTGAGGTTATATAAAATGATGGTGCAGAAGTTTTCCAGTTGTAATAAGGAACCTCAGTCATTTTCATGATCTAATTTCATGTATTCTTTTGCAGGAAAACCATACTCATCCACTCATTTGCAAATCAGTAAAGGGGCCTTGCATTTCATTTGATCAGCATTTACAGATGCCTCCATCTCAGAGTGTGTGCTTTACCCATGCTCTGATCAGCAGGTGGGAACCAGCCAATGAAAATCTTAATGTTACTGACTTAAGGGCAAGAAATATGAAGGTACATGATCCCCCATGTTCTGTGATAGCATTGTCCTAATAGGGAATTTCTATATTGTCATATGAGGGTAGGACCCAAAACTAATGTATTTCCTTATCAAGGCAATGAAGTTACAATGGGTGGGAAATTGTTTTCTATTGCAACTTGCATTCTTTTTAGGCAGTGGATGTGAGATCTCCACTGGGTCCCACACCCTGCTGACCAGAGGAAATTGAGATTGAGTGCAGGCTTCCCAACTGAATTACATTATTCAGTGCACATTACAAACTAGATGAATGTAAAGAAAGCAATGTTTACACTGGTCTGGGCACAAGATGACAGCTCTTAAACCCAAATGGGATAGTACAGTTATACTCTAAGTACAACCAAAAAATGAAGAAGATACAACAAATATGTTGTAATTAGAAAATGTAATCAAGATAAACCTGAGCTTGAGCAAAAAATATGTAATTTCAGGAAGTTCTGCATCTAAGTTAAAATTGTATGGGGAATAAGAAAAAGTGGCCTGTAAATGTATGCAAGCAGAGGAAGGAGCCTTTCTCAAGGTTTTTTTCTATAATATATAGTCCTCTCTTTCACTGACTCGAGAGGAGCATAGAGGCATCAATGGAGTGTTGACTGGCTCCAGGGCAATTTTGTGAGATCTTATGCCACCTGCGAGGCTGAGAAGGATAAATGTTACTGGGATAAGAGCGTTAACAGACATTTCAGCCTTCTCTGCTCTTCTGCCACTTATATGTTAATAATTAGTAATAAAAGATAAGTAAAGTTCACAGTTGAGTTCTGTAGTAGTACACATATGTAGGCCACAAGTTATTCCCATCACCATAAATTATCTTCTGCACCCCCCAGTCCACAGCTCACTTCTTCACCTCCTTTGTCTACAGCTCACCTCTGCCTCCCTTGTCCCTTGTCCACAAACCACACCATTGCACCCCCTTGTCCACAGCACTTTTTACAAAAAAGTAACAGCTTGTAGCAGCTCAGGAAAAAAATTGCACCAGGGATTTTTAGTATTAAGATAGAAGGGTGAGATCAGATAGCATCAAGTCAGGCCAAGAGTGCTTCACCATAAATTTTCCCAGGGATACTAAGCATCCTGAGCCATTTGTAAAATTGAGCTAATATAGTGAGGCAAGTTAGCATGTTTGTTTGGGTAACAGCCTCACCTTTAAGCATACTTGATTATGTGATTGAATGTGTGGGCAAATGCTGGCATTTAGCACACAGGGT